TGCCCGTGAAACCACCTCATATCGGCTATTCTTTAGTGCGTTAAAAGTACGTGAGTCTCTTTATTTACTTCAAATACGCCAATTCCCCTTCCTTGTACTTTACAACATCTTGGGCTAGCTCAACAGCTAGTGGAGACGTGGCAGTTACATAATCATCAATTCAAATATTGCAATTTGTTTACTGATTTGTTATTTAGTTATTTTTCTTTATTACTGAATTAATTTAATTGATTTTAAACCAGTGCCTACCATATATGTGCGGACAAATATTGTGTATTTACTGCTCCCAACCAAACCAAGACTCATCTCAGTACTCAGTGAGTTCTTTAAGGAAAACTGCACCAAGATCGAGAAGGGGTTACATATCCAAAATTACGATTACAGATATTGCAATTAATACCACAATAATGATTTTAAAGTATATTAAAAAGAAAGTAACATTTTGTACATTTTTACTTTCTCGCATATTGCTTATATAGTATAGAGAAAACATTGTAACGTAGCATCAAAAACTGCAATTTTTACATCAAAAGATATTTTCAAATAATTTATACTTCCTCTGCTGTTTGGGCGCGGATGAGGCTAGGGTATTTCCATTCAGATGTGACGCTCAAAAATTCCCAAATCACGTGAAATACGCTGAAGGCAGGGGAAGCGAAACATTTTGGTGACATGGGCCAAATGGGTTTCAAACACGAATTCTGATGCAACTCAAACACATTTCCAACCTTTTTATGAGAAATAGAAAATGGAGATAGGCGTAAGATCCGCTTACTCTATGAAATAAAAATTAATAACTCACATAACATCGATCACTCCACTAATTCATTAATGTACGCCATTTTTTGGAAGACTCGCAATTATTACAGCAATTCAGTACAATAGTATGAAATGATCTTATGGACGAGAAGGCAGACTCCGCCGTGGACTCAGATGGTGCTACAGCTGCAGGGGAGACCCATTTAGTGAATAAAACTCCGGGCCACAGTTGTTAGTTGTGATGATGTGATAAATTGCACTGACAGCGCTCTGCTGTTCAAAACGTGAATATGGATGGCCCTTAGTAGTTTCAAATAATTAATAGATGTAAGCATGCAATGCACCACTCGTAATAAATAAAACTATATTGAACTATTCTATTAGCATATACATTTCATTTAATAATTTATAGTATATTCTTAGCCCTATCGTACAGGACAGTTTTATACAGCATTTTCAATAGCTTCGCGGGATTATAAATTACATTGTGGAAAAGTAAAGAGATGTTTATGAATTTGGTTTTTAAAATAATTGTAATGGCAACATTTTGCCACACTAAGAGAAATATAACTGTTAGAAAATAAAAACACAGATGTTTATGTTCCTTTCTAATTTAATTCTTATGATAAACTAATATATATTTGCCATATTTCTTCCAAAATTCCACAAAAAATATTAATACTTTAAAAAAATGTGAATTAATGAAAGATCACATATTTTGAAAAAAATCTTTAATTAAAGAACTAATTGTGGAGGACAAATTTCATTTGAAAACTAGTGATGCTAAAAACAACCCTTACTTTCTCACCCTTAAAAATGGTTAATTAATACTAATTGTACCGCTATTTCTGTACAAATTGACACATCTCATTGTTTGTAAAACTCTTTACAAATCGTAGAACATTAGCTGAGAAAACTAAACACTATTTTCAAGCCAAAATCAACACAAAGTCAACAGTTAAAACTGCGTTTCATACAGCTCATTCACCCCGCGTGAAGCTGGTGATCTTGGCTCTAATTGAATTTATATAGATAGTAATAGTAATAATAGTAATAGTAGCAGTAGTGATAATATGGTAATAATAATAACGTAATAATGAAAACTCATGCAGCGAAACCATTTCGCAACAGTGAAACGGAATAAACAGAATGACAACTGCCATCTCGCGAGGTGGAAAGCCAGTGTCGCAGTCCAATTTGATATTTCCTGAAAGCTAGCAAATAGAACATGCGAAATTAGAATGTGCAAAATTATGCAAAACTACCCTTATTTAAAAAAATGTACACACTTTTTTAAACTGATTTTTCCGAATAATGTTATTAAAAACATAATTGAAATTGTATTTTTGCAATATTATTTTTTTGTTGAATTTTTTATAACTTGCAATTTTTTGCCCAATAAAGCCTAATTGAAGTAATTTTAATGAAGGTCATTACATATTGACGTTATATGGCATGACAGCCTTATATATTGACACCGTTTCGAAGCGCGGGAAATTCGAATTAACCATTTTAATTTTTTTTCCAATTTCCGAAAATGCTGAGAATGTGACGAAAATGGAACCTTCACCGCATTATATGCCATTATTTGTTACATACATGAAAAAATAAAGAAAAATTATAATTATAGCCGTTTCTCGCAAAATTTGATATTTGATACCAAATTTCACAAAAAATTGTCAAATTTGCGAAGAATTGAACTTGAACTTCAAGATCTGTTTTTGATGAACACGCTTCATTAAGAAAAAAATCATAGACAATGCTACGAGTGCTTTGGAAATTATGAATAAATTCCCAACTCGTGAAGCGAGGAGGAGATTATTTAATAGGACTGTACCACGAGTGAATTTATGTCCAGTAGAGCTCGAAAATAGCCAAACATTGAAAATAATTGAAAGCTATGTTAAAATCAAATAGATTATGATATAGTGTATAGCGGTTTATTAGACATTGACATAGCCATCGTTTTAGAATTCCACCTTCTAAGCTGACTCACAGTTTATGATTAGCCAGTAGGAAGAAGCGGTAAGAAAAATTGGATAGAAAAAACGATAAGCATTTTGAGATACACCGCCCTGATTGAGGCATTTTGTATGTAAAGTTAAACAGTATTGGTTTTAATTTCACGTGTGGAATAGTCATCACAATTGTAGTTGACGGAAGAAAAATTTTGAACGAAAATAACACCTGCACCATTGTCTTAAATGTCTACCACACTACCCAACAACCCAACATTTTATAAAAAAGTACCACCTATTTTTTTGCCCATGGACTTTATGTAAAGTAAAATTATATTCAGTCAAATTCTAGGAGCCGCGATATCACTCACATCGATTGGGAAATATCAATTTTGGAGAAAATCGGCTGAACGGTATAGCTACTAGTATTGTTCTTAGGCAGACTGACGAACAGACATATTTTGCAGTCAATCGATTTTTCTGTGTTGAGACCCCACAAACGTGGATTCTGACTACACTACGCATTAGAAGATTCGTTCTATATTTATAACCTGAATTTATCCACTTTTTCGTTACCAGAGCCAAGCAATACGTTTTTTTGCTGAAAATTCACCGTCACCTCCCAGAATTACATAATTTTGTTTATACTATGTAAGCAGTAGCGAGGAAGAAAAAGCTTATCTTCAATAATGTAGTTGTAGGAGGATCTCCAAATATTTTTAACTCTTGGAATTTTCGAAAGTTCAATGCTAATCGTGAATACGCGACTTTTGGCATCTTTATAAGTGTATTTCAATCTTTTATTACAAGAAATTTAAATAAAAAATGAGCCATTTTCGAAGTAATTTTGAAAATTCGCCGGGGGATTTACATAAAGTACCAACAAAATTCAAATAATGACTTTTAAAATCTAGGTGTTTGAATCGGACCAGATCATACGGATCTCTGTTTAACAAATATCTTGTTATATCCTTTGCTTCTTCCGGAATTGAAGATCTGGTGTGTTTGACCGTCTTATATGTTCAAATCATCAACTGATGTCACTACAGTGCCTTCGACCGGAAAGTTCTAAGGTACAAGTCCCGACGGGGGCAGGAATTTCGACAATAACTACATGGATTGGTTGTTATCAACCGCTGACTGGAGGGGCATTTTAGCGGCTGGCTATTCTGATTCTTATGAATTTATATATAGAGACACTGTCATATTTGAATTTCATTCCGCAAGAAAGAGGTTAGAAGTTACGCAATAGTAGGTTATGCAATTAGTTTATAATATTAAGCTCTATTGCATGAGAACATGTTTTGAAAACGAACGTTATTAGGAGAGAATTTTGAAATTTGTAAGAATGCAATAAAGCAACATTATAAACAAGTTGCGTTTGCTGTTTTTTGTATAACAGAGTTATAAATTTAAAACAATAAAAGTTAATTTTGCAAAACTACTTCTTTGTGACGTCTCGGGTATTTGACTGACATCTGTGCCAGAAACTGGTGGTCGGCTGTTCCGTTTACGTTCACCCACCCACGATTGTCTCACTGCGATTGGCTGACTTTATGATAAGGCAATCACGCATGCCATAAAATGCTAATACGTTATCATTTGTGCCGTAAAACGCCCAATTCTGAACGATTTCTTGCAACAGAAAAGGTCGTTTAGAATGCTGTTATATAAAAAAGTATTAAAATATTTATGTTTAAAGACACCAATGGATTTTGATTATTATCTTCATCGCGAATTGACCATCTCGGGACCACGAAAACGTGCAACTTACGGTCTCATTTATATTTATGGAGAAGAAGGTACACATAACTTTTCTGGGGGGGGGGCGGTCAGCATTTTCATGGTAATCCGTTTTGACACCCAGGACTGTTAGCTCTGGCGGTTTTGGTGAGTGTATTATTAACGATTATGTTTTAATTTTGAACCTAAATGTTTAGCAAAAACGAAGCCGATGTCGCACCGCACGTGTGTGTGTATGCGAACGTGTGTTCGATGCGCACCCGGCCATTCTCCGGGCCGATGCGCGCTCCACTACCCTGATTTTAACAAAATCTACGCTGATTTTGACTTACCCATTAAATTTAACTGAATCTATCCTGATTTTAACTTATCCAGGAAATTTAACTAAATCTACCGTGATTTTAACTTACGCAATGGATTTAATGTACAAATCTATTAAACACTTATCGATGCACAACATTACATTATGTTTCGTGTACAGGATATTAACGTCAATGCCATGTATGTGTACAGTGTGTGCGTGTGTGTGTGTGTGCGCAGGCGAGTTCGGCGCGCGCCCGGCCGGGCCCTGGGCCGACCCGCGCCCCGCCCCCCGACCTGCACCGCTTCCTGGCGGACCTCTCCTACCTGGAGCGCGCGTTCCCGTGCACGGAGGCGGAGCGCGCGTGCCTGGAGCACGGCCGCCTGCTGCACGCGGACGGCAACTGCTACCGCGTGCGCGAGCAGGGCCCGTGCGCCGCCGGGGAGGTCTTCCGCGTCAACAAGACGGAAGCGCTGCGCGGCGAGCTGCTGCGCGGCACGTGCAGCAAGCAGTGCGTGGGCGCGCGCCAGCCGCTCGCCGCCACGGGCGAGTGCCGCTCGGCCGAGTGGGTGGAGAGCGAGGTGAGCGCCACGCGACGCCACGCGATGAACAAACGGGCCACAGCTCGCGCGCGATATTTCCTTCCTCTTTCTTGTCCTATCCTTACCCCTTACTTACACACAGTTACACTTACACGCACTACACTACCACACATTCCGGGAGCTTAGAGCTTTTCCCGGTTGGGCCGGTGCCTGAGGAACATACAGAGGCAAATCCCCTGCACGCCTACGTGTAGATCAATCCCTGATCTTACCATACTGCGGGGGAGCAACACAGCCGTCTCCCGGATAAAAATCATGCACTGCACTAACGCGTCTATTGGTCATGGGAGTTGATGTACCCGGAAACATCAATCAATCAATCAATCAATCAATCAATCAATCAATCCCACGTTATTGATAATATTCGTGTCTATTTGTTTAGTCAAACACTAAACTTCACTCTTATTAGATATACTGGCAGGGGCAACTTAGCGACAACGCTTCTTCAGCATTGTTGAGTGAGATCTGTGGTTTGAGTCCCGACAGGGTCTTGAGGTTTGGTAGAAGATTCATTGCTGGGTCTAATTCCACAGGAATTCAGCTGTTTGGAGGAGAATTCTAGCAGTCTCCTCTGATAGTTTTTACGAACAGTTCTGGTTGACTACCGGAGTAGTAATCCTTAGCTTAAAATTGAGCCATGGACTACGCACGATCTTTCCTTCTTGATTTTTAGCCCTTCCTCTCCCTTTAGACACACACGCTTACACGTATATGCACTACACTACCACTGAGCCGGGAGCTTTAGAGATTCTTTCGTTTGGGGTGGAGCCTCACTGAGCCAGTGCCATGTTTACCAGGGTAAACCCTCGGGCCGACATGTAGTTTGGCACCAAATCTCGTGTACCACCTAAGGAGGAACTACCATACCTCCCTAGATATAACATCTACTTCGCTCACAGATCTAATGATTTCAGTACTTCATGCATTTGGAATCAACGCTTACAAACTCACATGTTACACTAGTTCATTAATAAACATGATGTGATACCTAAGAAACATTGCGCTATGGTAAGCGTTAGTTTTGGGTTCGAAACTGACGAATTACATGAAATAATTATAGACGTCATTGCCAACAATAGTATTTAATATAAGAGCAGCTTTCGATGGCTTA